GTTTGATGGAAAAAAAAAGTGTGAATAATAGTGATAAAAATTACGGATGTTATTAAGTTGAATAATGTGATGAAGATAAGGGCAGACTGAAAGAGTCTGCAGTCCTGGTCTCACAGTCTATAAAAGAATATAGCTGAACTGGAAAATGCTCCAAGAGGGACAACATTGTTTCAAGGGTGAACAGAATAACTTTAATCTAATGAGTGACGGAATATACTTAAAATGTTTGGAAAAGAGAAGTGAGATGATGACCTAGGGAATGATGGAATCTTCCAATCCAATAATTAGATGCATCAAGTGATAGGCAGAAAGAGAGGTTTGTTTACTTCAGAACAAAAGGAGATAGTGATTTACCTAGTGTTACCTGAGAGCATGAAAGTTCTTACTGGAGACTACTGCTCTAGATTATATAAAACATCTGAAGAGCATTAAATGCCAAGTTGGTTCAGAAAGCACCTGGAGCAACTGGGAGGGAAAAATGTTAAAGGAAATCAATCCCAAAAAGACCATTTACAGCTCTGCAAGTCCGAGCTGCACACTTCTGGAACATGAGGAAACTTCTTGTAGAGGCATTTTCTTCCTGCTGTATTTTTTGCTGTAAACATCTGGTATCAATTTCTGCTGTAAAAGGGATACTTTGGTAGAAGGAGGTTTGCTATTGCTTTTAAAACTATTTATTGCTTTTACTTTACTTTCCTTCAAAGCATCTGGAGACAGACTTATTCTTTATGATAATGTTTATTTTCTTGCAAAAATTGGCTGACATTCATCTTTTAGGTACACATCATGGTAATTAGGAGATATAGGATAAACATATAGGTTGGATTAGAGTTGGATCACATGTAAAACTAAGGATTTCTTTATAATTGTTTTCACATTTACTTAACTGATCTTGAGCAATCTGGACACCCTGTAGTTGTGTCTAATTAGTAGAAACTGCAAAATTACGATTGATCCTCAAATATTATTAAGTGCCCAGTGGAGGATTTCCTGTTGAACCTGCAATGACACTGGATATTTGGTCTCAGAGAATGGTAATTTCTATGGAAATGGTTTCTCATAAAATGGGTAGCTACTTATCAAAAGTCACTAAGGCAGATCATGAATTTATTAGTGTCAAAAGGGTTGTTAAAATCTGACATACATACATACATACACATACATGTGTTAGTAGTGAGAGAGAATTTTAGAGAATTGAAGGGTGCACAATGCATGTTACATTAGCAATAAATCAAAATCATCTGAGCTTTATGTTCCTTACTGCGATCAACTTAGTGCATAAACCCCTTTTCTCAAAGGTGTATGCTTCACCAAGTACTATTTCCAGTAGTCCTTGTGTTGCCCAAAGTCCCAGGTTACAAAGATTTGCTTATTTGTTTTGTAAGTACTTACTGCCTTCATTTTTTTTAGGATGCTGGGATCAGACAATTTTAGATTCTCAAATCTAATGTATGTAGTGCTTGCCAAAGTAGGGCTTTTAATAGCTTTTGCTCCATGGACCCACTCCTGCTTTGGAGTGTCTTATTGTCTGAAAGGGAGAGATTTGTGTCATGTTGTCACTCATGCAGCTCATATTGCAGCTTTATACTAGAAAGGAAAATTAGTTTAGTTTGAACATTAAAGTTTTGTGTTCTACGCACAAGTTTATTTCCTCCTTGCTCCTAGCTGAATACACTGAAGATCATTCTGGCTGTTCAGAAGTTCAGATTTCCATATTCCTACAAGAATTTATGGTTCATTCATTATGTTTGTTGCTGTCAATCACTTGGAAATGCTGTTAATTTATCTGAATTTGAAAAAAAGAGGAATGGTCTAGGCATGGCTTTCATTCTCTAAGCAACTTTCTCCTGCCAAACATATGATATATGTTGGATAGGATGGACCAGTGACAATCTAGGTTATTGATATTGATTGATATAAGATCATGAAATTAGTCATTCTGGTATATGGTGTGAGATGTAGGTTACATCCAAACTGCAATTAATTAATTTATCAACAATGAAGTGAATATCTGTCTTCTTCCCTAAAGCACAGTAATCAAAAATTTAGAATGAAAAAATACTGTCTGAATAATTTTCAAAACTTTCCAGCATTAAAAGAGTACTGAAATTTGAGAATTATGTGCACATCTACGCATAATTTCTACAACACTAAAGTGCAACATGCTCTACGTGATGAACTAATGATTTATTCATAATTTAATTTAACCTTCTGTTACATTATTCTGAATTAACTTTCTTGTAAAAGAGTATGTCTTAAAAAAAATAATTCAATCTTGATTAATGTTTCAAATGAGAGCAAATTCAAGGAAATTTTATGTGATGCTTAGGTAGTAACTACTTTTGTTGTTAATAATGCCCCCTAATTTGCAGTCTGACTCGAAGCCAGTCTAGCTGCCAGCATGGGTTTCTCTCCATTATGCCATTACCTTTTGTAATGCTATTCTCTTTTTCTTTGGATATTTATCCATTGTGGTCCTTCAACTCCTCTACACTATTTAGCTTCACAAAGAGTAACTAAATTGCTCTTCTCGCCAGAAAGGCATATTTTTCAGTGCTTTATTCATTTTGATCTTTCTCTACCACTCTGTCTAACTTCTTATCCCATTAGCAGGATGGTTATCAGATTCAGGTAACACTGAGGTAATTCAACTTTCATGCGCTTTCAGAGTTTCCCTGGCTTTTAATAAAGTTCATTGTCTTCATCAGATGTTTCCTACAAGCCAACTGGGCATCAGAACTATGACTTCTGTTTTTTCTGTTTCATCATTAAAAATTGTCTATGGTAAAGAAGTAAACTATATGTCCTTCCTTTAGAAATACTTCAGTTCATTACCCCTTTGCCATACTGAAATATGAAATTTAAAATCTTTTCATTCAGTTAATGTATTTCATATTTTACAGTATTGGTTATCTTACAGAACATTGTTTCATCAAACCTATTATTTTATAGAATCATTAAATGGTTTGGGTTGGAAAGGACCTTAGTGATCATCTAGTTTCATCCAACCCCCTTGCCATGGGTAGGGACACTTTCCATTAGACCAGGTTGTTCAAAATCCCTTCCATTCTGGCTGTGAACACTTCCAGGGATGGGGATCCACAGCTTCTCTGGGCAGAACATTTAGTTTTACCAACTAAACTAACTAGCTAGTTTTATCAATAAGATAATAAATTTGCAATGTCACCTAAAAAGCCATCAAGGCAATTATTATGTAATGTCAATTTGAGGCAATACTTAATAGGAAACCTAGTGTTTATTATTTGTTCTCCATACACAGACATTTTCTTTCTGCCAGTTTTGTGCTTGAGCGCTGTAACCAATGCTTTGTAGTTAAGAATGTCGCTCTTTTAAGTTTCAGCTCTATTGTTCAAGCTGCTTAGTGACTCAAGCAAGTGCCATTTCATCAGTCTTTGAAGTCTGAAAATAATTTTTTGTGCTTGGTAATAAAGGAAAAATACAGGAAAAAGCAATTATTTCTTTCCTCTCTTGTTATCACATGCATAAAAACAGCAGGTACTGCAACTGCCTAAATTCACTTCTTGGGTTTCACACTTGGGTTTTTTTCCCACTTGGGTTTTATTTCAAATAAAAATAAACAGCGTCAAAGCTGTTTCCTTTTTTTTTGGATGATTTCTTAGCAGTAGCTTGATTAGCTCTTTCAGATACTTTCATTAAATATAACTATATCATCAACTGTTTTAATAAACTTAACAGTATTTTCTAAGTTATTGTGAACTGTATTTTGTTTATTCTCTACCGCTTATTTGAAAAATGTATTTCTTGGCACATAATTTAACTTTTAAAATATGTCTTCCTCATTCTCAAGTTAATACTCAAGTGTATGTCAGGTATATTCCTCTAAACTGACTCAGTATATACATTCAGAAAGGACACAAGACTGAAGGAAAATCCCTGCCATTTTAGGGCTGGTAAGGTAGTTTACCCTGTATTCTGTATTCTGAAGATTAATCATTAAAATTACCCCCAAAAATTATAGCAAGGTTCAATAATGTTTCCCTTGTTACACAGAGTAAAAGACAAATAAGATCTATTTTAAGGCGACTTCTGCACATTTTATTTTAGGAAGTTCATTCTAGTTTCAAGGAATAACTTACGCAAGGTCTAATAAATCGTATTGTGCAATATCCACTTTGATTATATTTTTGGATTGAAAATAACATTCATGAAAAGTGAGAATTCAAAACAGAACAACAGAACAGACAATAATTCAATCTCTTGCATGAAATGAACACAGGGAGGACCACTGTGATTATGGTTTCATGTCTACCTTCACCATTATTCTTTGTTTTTCATTTTTTGTAGTATTGTTATAAGCCATCTCTTATTTTGCATTCATTGTTTCTAAACAATGTTTAAATACAAAGTACTTCCTCCATGTTCTATAGTCCAGAATATAAACAGGTGTTTCATCAGTGAATTCTGATTGTGCAAAGATCAGCATTTGCTCAGTAGTTTATTTGAAATGCTCTGTTGGTCCCTCTTCCACAGAGGTTCCACACTTTCAGTATGGTGAATTGTCTGTGAGTCTGTAAACAACATTCCACCAAGAGAATTGGTCTTGGCTTAGCTGATTAGAACTGTCACTTCATTTTATAGCAGGCATTTTTCCATTTTGCCTTTTGCCCCAGGCAGCCTGGTGCTGGAGCAGACAAATGTCCCTTTCTGCAGCGTTCACCTGGATTCCCAGGCCCCTGGCAGCAGGTGTGGGGATGGAGATGCTGTCCAAGCTCTTCCCTGATTTTTGGGGAGAGTACAGCCAGCGCAAAAACAGTAGGATGGAAAGTTCTGACTCTTCTGACTGACACTGGGAACCCTGGTGGACAAAACTCAGCCCAAAATACAAAGAGAACGAATGTCTGTTTTATTGCTCTTTCTGGTTATCCAATTCTAAAGCACTTTTTAACCTAGTTCTCTGAATAATGATATTCCACTTACAAAACTGGAGTGTTTTTACTGTCTCCTATTTATTCTTTCAGGATTTGTGGATTTAACACTCCATGATCAGGTCCATCTACTGGAATGTGCCTGGTTAGAGATACTGATGATCGGCTTAGTCTGGCGCTCCATGGAACACCCAGGAAAGCTTTTGTTTGCACCTAACCTGTTACTGGACAGGTCAGTCTGCGTGTTGCTGCCAATTATTTAAGTTAATTTATTTCTGCTGCGATCAGATTAATTTTTAGTGTGATATCATCTCACTGATACTACAATTTGACAGTACTTCGTATGTCAACAGGGCTTATAGTAGGTGAGACTGGAAAACGAACTCTAAAAAACCTAGAAATGCTCAGGAATATGATACTGCTCATTTATTAGACAAGTAACATGCCTGAGATCCATTTGCTGCTTGAAGTACTTTCTTTCAAAGGCAGCAGTAAATTTCTGTTAAAATCTGTACTGTTGCAGAAGTAACTTAAATTAAAAACTGAACGCTATTCATCTAATTCAGATAGGGTTTTTTTGTTTATTTAAAATCCGCCTAGTTTTTCTTAGAATGAATTTATCCAAGCAGCCAGCAAAATTTTGGAAGAAAATCCTCATAGAATCACAAGTGCAGTCTTATTTATTTATAAAGAATATATGAAGTTTGAGGAGTTTTTTTCCTCATGAATACTGGAGGCAAATATGACAAACAAATGCTCGCTTCCTTCACTAAGCCTTTTTTTTTAGCCAGTCTTGCTAATATGCTAAGTATTTCTGAGAGAAAAAAGTATGCATCTGTGCTGTATGACAGCATCCTGGATTTTAGCTGGCAGTCTTCACATTAAAAGCAGGAAGACTGATAATTTAAAACATATTTTCTGCTATCTTAATGTAAACTCAAGCTCTCCTTTTCCTAGTCATGGGGAAAAAAATTGATGAAAAATTTAAATTAAATTTTCAGAAAAAATTGCTTAGGATAGAGTCATCTTAGCTACTGGTGGTCCTCTTAGTTGAAGACTACTGCCCACACAGCAGAGTGGCAGGGGAGAGCTGCTGTGTGCACTTCAAGGCAGACTTTGGCAACTTGGTCTTGACTGGAAGTGACAGAAGAGCCAAGCTGAGAGGGACTGTACAGAGAGGCAGCTAAGAGCTGGGCAAGCTTCTGACCTCCTCACGTAGCTGCAGGGGCAGAGGGGTTGCAACAGAAAGTCAAGGGCAGAGCCTTCAGCTACTGCAGCCACCAGCTGTGTAAATTAATCATAATTCTCATTAGCAGAAAAATTTCTTATGATCAGCTTGCTCTGCTGACTGTGGAGTACTGAGTTCTGTGGCTGCATCCATGCAGTGTTAGTCCTTTGATTCCCTGCCCTCTATGTGCACACACCTCCCAGGATTTACTTTCAGCAAGTTAGTAAAATTCATATGATAACACCTGACAGGATAAAACATAATATTTCACAGTAATAGAGAAATATTTATTGCCTTAGGAAAAACCCTATTCCACTTTTTTAAGCAAAATGATCTGTGAGCTGTGGAACTAGATGAGTATAAAATACAGTCTCATTTTAGGTACAGAAAATACCTGCTTGTCTAAATGTAAGTATAGTCATCACAAAAAACCCCAACAGTTTTAAAATAATTTTGAAATTTTGGTCTTCCTTCAAATCCCCATGATCTCAGTAAAATGGAGTTTGAGCAGTTGATGCACACAGTTTTAAGTCAGCTGTTGGATTAAAGAAAGCTATCACATGCAAGTAGAAACATATTTCTTCAGGGCTCTTTGTTTTTTGAGTTTCAATTAATACTGTAAAAATGTAGATCTATTACATCTACTAATTTTCAAATAACAAGAAATGTGTTTCTAGGTCATCATATACTTCCTCCATTTGGTAGGGATATTTGCTGAAAGTAAAATAATAAATTACTTGACTCTGGGAAGCACTGATATGCTAATCAGTTAAATAACTCTTAATTTACTAGTTAATTAGTGCTAGCAATATTTTGATGTGTTAATTTGATTTAGGCAAATTGGCTTTTGAGAATGTTACAGAGCAAAAATATGTTTGTCAGGTTTGAGAGGGCAGGACAGATGCTGATTCAAAGCCTGTTTCACTCAATGAAGTCCTTCCACTAAGTATTCATAGAACCATAAAATGGTTTGGGTTGGAAGGGATCTGAAAGATCACTAGTTCCAGCCCCACTTCCATGGGCAGGGACACCTTTCACAAGATCACATTGCTCAGATTTCCATCCAACACTTCTGTATTTAGTGAAAATTCCATACTGTTAATACAGAGCTTTACCATACTTCGTGTATGTCTCTAGATCTCTGTGATCATTCTGTTGCACATTTTAACACCCCTTTCATTTTGTCATCCTGGCTTATCCTGATTCCAACAGATTCTTTCTGTCAAGAATCTTTGATATATGTAGTCATTTGTATACGTCTATTCCTACAGCTTAGGTCACACCAAATTTTGTTACACAACTTTTTTGTTTTTTGGCTACATAAATACAGTCTTGTTAACATCTATCTGAAATGTCATAAAAATAACCTTTTAGCTTTGCTGTTCTTTGAAAAAGCATGATCTTTCTTCTTCAATCTCACTCCTCCTACTTGGGTCATAGTACACATATGCTTGTCTTGTCTCTGAAGATCTTTTAGAAACTATATTTTCTAATTCTATGCAAGTCAACCAGTTACATTTTCAAATAAATACTTCTTTAACTTTCCTTTGCAACAATTCACACTTGGAAGAGTCCTTGAAAATATCTGTAAAGCAGACCTTAGTTATTAATTCTATGTTCCTTTTTAAAATTTTTCTTTGCCTGTAAGAAAATAATTACACACCAATTAAGCTGACAGTATGTGTAGACTGCTGTCTTCTGTGTGGATGAATATAATCCCATTATCTCTTATTGTTCCAGTCTGCATTGTAATTAGGCAGTGTATTTTGTGAGGTAATGCACCCTTTCTTATTCTGTTAATGCATTACCCAAACACTTGAGTCTTGGTTCAAAATCAGAAATTTTAACAGTCTGTCAGTTATATAGGACTGGTAGATTTTTTACAGTGTACGACTGCTGCTATTAAAATGCTCAAATCACAATAATTATAGATTAGAAAAACAGGCTCACTCAGGAAATACAATGGCACACTCAGAGTGTTTGCAATTAATGTATAGTACCTAATAAAATAAAATAATAAATTCAAGTATTTTATGTTCTGTTTTTGAAAATTAGTATATTGTAAAAGGCAAATTTAGAAGAAAAGGCTTAGGTTTCTAGTAGGACAAACCAGATGTTTCCTGTCTGGAGGGTTCCCAAGAAACTAGGCTTTAAAAATGTCATTAGACCAGGGTTGAAATTTGTCAGGCCTGGTAGTAGACTGTTTATAATTTTGAAGAAAACATAATGTTTCTCCAGGAATAAGAAAGTTATATTTTACTGTATTTTTGAAGGATTTGTTGCATTCAGATATGCTGATCCCAGGTTACTTGAAGGCTTGAAACATAATTAAAAAGAAACTCATGATAGAAATAGCTGGATTGCTGAATCTCACTTGAAACATTCTCAGTATCAGCAAAATGGGAAATTCAGTTCTGCATTTTAAAAAGGAAGCCTGGTGACCACAGTAAAGAAACTGATGGGATGCCATCTGAAGAAGAGAATTGACTGAAGTTGAATGAATATGACATAGTGATAAAGAGTCACTGTGCATTTTGTTAAGAGCAATCCATGAATACATTGAAATCCTTTTAGAAATGAACAAGCAAGTAAATGACAGACATCTTGTTGCATTTCCAAAAAGTATTAAACAAGTTCCAAATTTTATGCAGACAAATGTGATGGAATGTATATAAGAGAATAATTATTCTGATCTTCCTAAACAGCATTCTAAGTTGATCTTTCCATCTCACTGTTATCAGCAATTAGTTATACAGAACCATCATTTCTTTGCTTGCCAGTAGTCAGAGACTGCAGCTTTCCTTCCCACCCCAGAATCTTTGCAACAGGAAGTTGAAATAATACAGATCATTGCCATTCCTCTGTTTAATTCTGTACTTTATCCATGCTTGGAAAACTATGCCTTTCTGATTTTCTTTGTCTTGACAGCAATACTGAAAGAGTAGGAGAGGTACCCAGAGGTGTTGCATAGGCAATTAAATAGAGATACGTGCTTTGCTACAAAGGCTAACTAAATGGACTGACTTCCCTGCCTGTGATACTCATTAGAAGAGCAAGAACAAAGCAAAGATGATGGGATTTATATACAGTCATGAGCACGTTGAGAAGATGTGTGGTAATCCACAACCTATTATCTCTTCCAGTCCAGCAATAGAGGTAGTCACTTGAAAACAGCAGATCCAAATAATGCCTGTGTGCTTAGCCCACAGCTAAATATACCTTTGATATGAGACATTATGGCTGTCTTCATGTTATTTCCTACTGTTATTTTTTTATCATGATTGTAAAAAATCTCTCGTAGCAAAGAAATCTGTCTAGGGACTTACAAAATTTCAGTTCAATGTTGTCAGTATTTCTGTGTTTCCCTCGGGTTTTTTCCTTCTTTTTATGGAGAAAGCTAGTCTGTTTTTTAGGGTTCGTTTTAATTTGGAAACTGACTTCCACTTCCAGTGCTTGATGAAGATTTTTCATTGCCTCTAAATAGAAGAATTTTCCTTTTATTGACTTTGATATTGAGCAATGGCAGGAGACTGAATCTCTTTAAACTGCAACTAAAACAAATAGTAAAAAACCAGCATTCACTGTGTGACAGGGTAGCTGAATAATTTACTTTCATGTCTTTCATGGCTCTTTCCCCAACTTTTCTCACTATATCTGAAAAGAATCTTTTAAGTTCTTTATGCAGATATTTTGATAGACATAAAATTAGATACAGCAGAAGAGCATCAAGATGAAATCTGAGTATGCTTTTCCAGTCCCTCAACTTGTAAAATCTTCCAAATGTCTGAGGGCACCACACTTGTCTGTCATTTCAGTAAGAGCACAACATTTCATGTGAAATTGTGGATGCATTAATTACCATTGATTTATTAGAACAATTGAAGCAAAGTGGTCCCAAGTGCTTGATTAAGAATGCTTCCTTAGTGACCTGTATTTATTTAAAAAGGGAAAAGTCCATAGGCAACAAGTATATCCTAATTTTCCCTTCAAAATGGATTTGAAAA